CGGCGGCGCTGCGAGGCTCATGAGGTCCCTCCGCAGGTGACGTCAGCAAACATGGGCTGGACCTGCAGAAAAGCAAAACACTACAAAGACCTTCCCGCAACCCCCAAAAACCTTTCTTTTACTTTATATGGACGCAACATTGCAAGACTTATATTTTGTACTACTATTAAGCAGCTTATATACTGTCCATGCAAGAAAGTTCTGTAATAAAATAAAAGTAAAATTAAGTATAGTTGAATTATATTTAATTCAAAATATTTCACTTATATGACACATTGTACTGATGCAAAATAAATAAAATAAAAAATAATTTTAAAACAATCCAATTGTTTATACCACTTATAGGCTAAATATAATGTGTTAAATAAAAATGTAAATTACATTTATACATATATATATATATACTGTATATATATATAATTGTGCTTTACTATTATAGGGGATAATTGATTGTATCTTTTATTTTATTTCGATAGTTTCTTTTATTCTGTAGTTAACTTATTCTGATCCCCTTTCTTTATATATAGTCACGTTAAAATGCTATTTAAACTGTATTTGTAAAATTTTAAATTCATCAAATACTTGAAAATGTACAAATAAAGGGGGGGGGAAATACTTTGTGCCAATTATAAATATAATGTCCTGGCAAAAAAGCTTTTTTTTTTTTTAGTTTTGTGTGTGTACCATAAAAACAAACCTGTGTGTGTGTGTAAAAATAAAATAGCAGAATAAATCATATATTCAGTACAATATATATTGTACTAATAAAGTTATGTTAAATATATAAAATAAATAACATGAGAAAGCTACCTCAATGCATGGTAATGAATATAATGTCTAAAGTTAACATAAAATGACTTAATGTAGTCAGATTGTTTCAGTCTTATTAAATAATACTTTTACTTGGTGGTGCAGGTTTCAGAGAAAGTGGCCTCAAAAGGTGCGGTTTTACAAGTTCGAGGAAAAGTATTACTACCATACTGAATCAGTCAGATAAGTAATGATTAATGATAAACCCAACAATCCTCACATTCACAGAGAGATCATTACTGCACAGCATAGTACCTAAATCACACAGGCCCTGTCTGGCCTTCCCCTGCATCCACAGGACGACAGCTTTTACAAAGACTACAGACCGTTTAAACAGTCTGACATGTTAGATAACAGTTGAAAACCTCACACAGACAGTCTAAAAGCATGCACATTGATGTTAATGTGGGTTAAATAGGATGTAGTGTAAACACAGACCACGCCAATGCATAAAGAAGCTATTATTAGCATCATGGGGATCAATAATGTACTCTAGCTCAAACTCTCCTCTAGAAAAAGCAGTGAGAGTTATTAGAGTTTATTTTATGCTCTGGGCTAATGCACTCGTAAAGCAACAGAGACAAATGAGGGGACTGTTTAGAAATCAATGTGCTCTAAATACGGTCAAATCTCTCTGAAGCACAGGCTAGTGTACTTCAAGGTACTTGACGGTGAGACAATACTTACACTATTTACTTAAAGTGAATCAATTCTGCATTAAAGATAATCTAGGAATCATTTAAACTGGTTGTGATTGCATGAGATGCAGCGTCCTCTGCTGGATGAAGGAGGAAAATGAAGCTTTGTGTCTTCTAGGATATTTGGAAATTTCCATGGTAAGGCCAACAGTATATGCAAATTTATAAACGGTATATTTAAATTATATAAATTAATTACGTGACTTTTTTTTGTCAATTACCAATCATTTTTGCTTAAAAACGAGACTGAGAGAGAGTTCAAAGATTTGCTTCATACCTATTTGTGGAAATTGCTAAGTAGTACTGTATTTATGCTGTATATATATATATATATATACATATATATACTGACAAATATATCACTAAACACGGGCTTTGGCAACAAATATTGGTTTATAGTTATTGCCAAAAGAGAAAAACAAACACACACAAGCTAAATAATACAAAAAAAACTTTGGTGGTGAAAGATTTTCACTCAGAAATTGCTAATAAATATCACAAATAATTACAAAGAATCATTAATTACACATTTAATTAAACTTTGAAGTTAGATGTTGAAAGAAATTGTTTTTTTTTATCGTAAAACATACCCCAATAACCTGTTTTGTTTACAACTTCAAAAAAATATTTTTTTATTTTGTCTTAAATTTTGTAAGTTGCTTTAGATAAAGGCTGATGGAACAAATACATGTGTGTACTTTTTGGTCATTAAAATAAGTAACTTTTTGGTAAAGAAAATTGTCCTGATCCATGAGGTTCCTGTGTGCGAAGACAAAAAGGAATGTACAAATATATTTTTTATAATTTTTTTAGACAAAAAAAATTACATTTTCTATAAAAACAGATAGTGTTTGATTGTCATGCACGCCAAAAAAAAAAAAAAAAACACATCTAAAAGGTCATTTCTCAAGCACCGATATTTCCTTCATGAAGTGCCCATCTAGTTTGAATCAGAGTTTATTGAACAGTGTCAGATCGGTTCATGTGAGAAATCTCTCTTTAGTCTCCAGTAGCTCTGCAGGGCAGTTTGTGTTTGTGAGGCCAATTATTAAGTCCTGACAGTGAGATCCAGACCTTTCTTCTCCTACTGTATCTTCTCTCATATTGCTCTCTGAAGCTGGACTGATGATGATTGTGGGAGCGTCTGAGGAGCTGCGGGTCACAGAGCCGTTCTTAGGGTTAAATGAGAGGTCAGAGGTCATATCAGCACTCCCGCTCTTCTTAGTGTAAATGGCCGTTGGTGCCGTTGCCATGGCGAGGGAACCGGAGACGAGATCTCGCTCGCATAGACTGAACGACTCTCTCATCTGCACTGGAGGCTACAGAACACAAACACACTTGGCGATTGGTTGAATTACTGTATATGGACACTCCCCTTCCTGTACATTCATTTGGTCTATAAGTTTTATTCACAAGTCTATTTAAAGGAATAGTTCACCAAAAAATTACAATTTACTGAAAATTCTCAGGCCATCCGAGATGTAGATGAGTTTGTTTCTTCATCAGAACAGATTTGGAGAAATGTAGTATTGCATAACTTGCTCACCAATGGATGCTCTGCAGTGAATGGGTGCCGTCAGAATGAGAGTCCAAACAGCTGATAAAAACATCACAATAATCCACAAGTAATCCACACCACTCCAGTCCATCAGTTAATGTCTGGTGAAGAAAAAAGCTCAATGTTTGTCATAAACAAATCCATCATTAAGACGTTCTTAAATTCCAAAAAATTAAAACGATTCCTCTATCCATACTATTTCTTTATCTAGGGATAAAGTCTGTGAATATGCACAGATCAAATGCAAAAACAGTTCAAAACAAAATATATTGGTGGTTTTTGATAAGAGAGGACAACATGGGCTGGACTTTTTTCACTGGAGGAAGCGTTATTATGGATTATGGACTCGTATTTGGGCCGGAAGGGATGATTTAAAGTTAAAATGGCTTTATGAAGGATTTGCTTCTTACAAATACGCAGCATTTTACTTCACAAGACATTAGTTGATAGACTGGAGTGGTGTGGATTACTTGTGGACTATTGTGGTGTTTTTATCAGCTGTTTGGACTCTCATTCTGACGGCACCCATTCACTGCAGAGCATCCACTGATGAGCAAGTGATGAAAAATTTCTCCAAATCTGATGGAGAAACAAACTCATCTACATCTTGGATGGCCTGGGGGCAAGTACATTTTCCACAAATTTGTAAGTGAAATATTAATGTTTCAGTGCCAGTGAATTAAACCTCACCTTCTCTATCAGCAGCGAGGAGCATTTGAGGATCTGCTGTCTCGATGAGTTTCTAAATGACACTTTAGTCAAGTTGGGCCTGTTCTCCATCAGGTCTAGTTCCACTTCTCCCATTACCTGCAATCTCACACACACACATAAACACACACCCTAAAATATAGATCCATGGACAAACCAGCACCTTATTCAGCATTCCTAAAGTGTTTGATAATAGGAGTGTTACTGAGATAAAGTGTGTGGTATTCAGCAGGTCATGTGATTTCAAGTTTAGGCCATTGATATGAACGGAGTCTCATCTTGGCGTCATAGAAACTCAAGCCTACACTGTAAAAAAAAACTGTGATATTTACGGTAAAATACCGGCAGCTGTGGTTGCCAGAACTTCACCGTACAAAATATGGTAGCAACATTTTAGGTTTTACAGACTTAAATTAAATTCACAATAAAATACCTTATTTCATTAACTGATGTAATGTTAATAAACCAACATATTGAAGTACTAATATCTGTTTTGAACCATTGTAATGCACTGATAACCACCAAAAACTGGTGGTGATGAGAAAATCACATGATGAACCAAAGCTCATCACAAACAGCTTTTCTACGAGCTGAGGAGGGCAATACTTATGAATAGAAGGTGCACAGTGTCATTCACACAAACACTAATCCCAATCATGGTGACACACGTGATACTGAAATAATGCAATAAACATTAATTTAACAACATTAGATGTAAGATTAAACCCTAGTGCACAACTGATAAGAAAAGCTAAGAAACATGTTATTTCAACAAAAAATCATCAAATTTGAAGGGTTGTCAAATTCTGGGAGTGTCAATTTACGGTTTTTCACTGTAAATTATGCAATGACTTTTTCTTTTTCACTTCCAAAAAATTTATTTTTAACAGTATTTTACTGTGAAATCACATTAAATGAAATTACATTTATTCACCGAATATAGTATGGAAACTTACTGTTAACCAGTTAACAGGTTTTTACTGTAGCATTTTACAGTTGTTTACAGTTAAAATCACAATCATTTTTTACAGTGTACAGATGGACCTTTCTACTGTACCATAGTACTGGAGTTGTTGGCGGTGGTTGTGTGGAGTTTGTTCTTGGAGACCGATGACTGTCTGCTGACGCTGGTGTCCTGGACTGAGGCATCGCTATTGGTGGAGGAGGTGAGACAGTGCTTCTAGTTAAAATCACAATCATTTTTTACAGTGTACAGATGGACCTTTCTACTGTACCATAGTACTGGAGTTGTTGGCGGTGGTTTTGTGGAGTTTGTTCTTGGAGACCGATGACTGTCTGCTGACGCTGGTGTCCTGGACTGAGGCATCGCTATTGGTGGAGGAGGTGAGACAGTGCTTCTGAACGCGAGACAGGCAGGACAAACCTGGGACCTTCTCAGCCAATGTGGCTCTGCAGACAAATTAATATATGTCATGATGTGAAAAAAAAAAATATATATATATATATATACATGTATATACACACACACACACACACAGAGACACACACGCATATACATATATTTTTAGTTTTAGTTTTACATTTTTTTACTTTTTTTAGTTCACTTAAATAGACTTGGTGTGACAAATGATTATAAACCAACATGTATAATAATATAATATTATATTATATTATATTATATTATATTATATTATATTATATTATATTATATTATATTATATTATATTATATTATATTATATTATAAATTGTTTCAATTAGTTTTAGGTAAAGTCTGGGGCACTGCTGCCACTGCTTGACATTAATGTTCTACTAACCCTTTGTATTTTTTCTGTCCACATACAAACATGTATTTTTGCATGAAATGAGCGTGATTGTGTATTTAGCTTGTTTTAATATCTATTTACCTGTATTTGGTGTGAACTATGGCATATATGAAAGGGTTGTAGATGGCAAATGATTTGGCGATGACCGCCGGCAGTGTTTTAGAGTAGGGTGTGAGGATGCTTGCATGCCTGAGAAACACAGGAAAAAATACAGTTACTTTTAAATGCATGTAGGTCATTCAAAAAGTGCAGTGCTGAAGAGAGAAAAAGAGATTACAATGTTTTATAATCACTATAATCTACTTCTCACAGCTGTGCTGAGCTTAACTACTATAGAGATCCACAAACACACTTACATACACAAACAAATGTACATCGAAAAGTGCCAGATAAACAGTAATCAGGGGATTTGCAGATTACAGACACGTTAAACACTTCTGATATATAAAGATTACAGCAAACTATATATAGCATCTAGTATACCGATTCAATGCACCATATATTGAGGACTTTCCTCATATGCGTCTGTATCTCAGTAGCTGGTTATCAGTCAGAAATTCCATTACTGCTTGTTTTTTTATGTCATTTATGAATATTTTATGCAACATTTTATATTTTTGTGTCCTCTAGAATTTTGTTTTCCAAAGGGTTCGCTAATAACAAAAATGGTGACTCCAAACTATTAAACAATATCTTCAACACTACACTTTTCTTTTCTTAAAATCTGCATCTTTGAACAGTAAGTTCCCACTGTGACAAGTTACCCCACATAGTGTGACAATGTGTCCTGTTATATGGTTAACATCTGCAAATGAACTTTAAACTTTTTTATAGCCATTATGTCAAGAATTCAGTCCATGGACTTCTGTTTATTCACCACCAGAGGTCACCCTTTCCATTTCATTGACTCTCGCACTACACAAACTGTTGCATAGCACCCCGGACTACATTTCCCATCATTCTTTGCACAATTTGCACACTGCCCTGATTGCACTCATTGCACACAGCTGTTTCTAATTACCTCATTCACTATATAACACCCACTCTAACCACCTTTCTCTGCTGAGTATTGTTTAGCCTGTACCCCTTTCCGAGTCTCCGTGGTTTCCTTGTCTTGCCTTGCCCAAATGAACTTTAAACTTTTTTATAGCCATTATGTCAAGAATTCAGTCCATGGACTTCTGTTTATTCACCACCAGAGATCACCCTTTCCATTTCATTGACTCTCGCACTACACAAACTGTTGCATAGCACCCCGGACTACATTTCCCATCATTCTTTGCACAATTTGCACACTGCCCTGATTGCACTCATTGCACACAGCTGTTTCTAATTACCTCATTCACTATATAACACCCACTCTAACCACATTTCTCTGCTGAGTATTGTTTAGCCTGCACCCCTTTCCGAGTCTCCCTTGTTTTGCCTTGCCTTGCCTGTTTTTGCGGTTTTTGATCTTTGCCTGTTTCCTTGGATTTCTCCCTCTCGTCTCGCCCCTTTGATTCTGTCTGCTGATCGGTGACCTACGCTAGCCCTAGGACTATTCTTGTGTTTTGCCCGCCATATACCTGTTTGCCATTGTTTTGACCCTGCCTGTGTACTACGTCTCTTTAATAAAGCCTGCAGATGGATCCACACGTCTCACGTCTCGTCAGCCCCGTTACACATTAACTGTAGTCAGTACTTTAACATACAGTATATTGGTTATATAGAAATTGTACTCCCATTACTGAAATTATCCACATTTTACCCAATTTTAAATTGCAAGCACAACAAATAAGATGTGTTAGGAACAGTACACTTTCAAATTTAGGACAAATGCTATATTTCATAGTTACTTCTCATCAAATGCATCTCTTTAATCTCAGATGAAAGACCATGTCATGCCTACAGGACAGATAACAACAGAGCAGGACAGTGAACACAGCGCTTACACAAGCGAGCTGTTGTTTGGCTCTCATCACATGGCTGTAAAATCAGTATGAGGCCATAATTTTACAACCCCATATCTTCTTGTGACTCTTTGATGAACAGAAAGTTCAAAACAACAGCATTTGTTTGCAACAGAAATCCTTTGTAGAATTACAAATGTTACTTTCGATCAATTTAATGCATACTTGCTGAATAAAAGCATTCATTTCTTTTCTTTTTTTAAACGTTCTGACCAACCTTTTGAATGGTAGAGTGTCATTCATGCATGCAGCACAAACTACATTCTAAGGGTTAGGAATAACCCCATGTATGAGCAATAGATTTAGTGATGCTTCCGAAATTTATATAAAGATCACTTGAATAAGAAGCAGCACTCACCCTGCCCAGGCGATGAGGGTGACGCACGCGTAGGGAGCCCAGGACAGCACATACACCACTATGACCACAGCCGCTATTTTAGCCAGTTTCCATTCACTCCTCATGGACTGCTGCTTCACAAAGCTGGACTTCTGAGAGCTCAGCTGCTCTAGATCTCTAAACACACACACACACACACACATACATTCATGCAGTCGTAAACGCTTTTCACTGAAAACTCTTCAATTTGAAGACGCCTCAAGGAGCTCAGACCTGCTGGCCTTTCGTACGGAGAGGAACATAACCAGGTAACAGTAGAGGATGATGGCCAGAGGGATGAAGAAGACGAAACAGCACAGCATCATGGTGTAACTCTTGTAGGTGGGAGACGGCGAGACGTAGTCCCACGTGTAGGTTGTCATCAGACCTTCAGGGATGTAGGAACCTGCAGGAGCATTAAAAGACATATCGGACATTTCATGCTAAAGTCACATCTGAAAGGGATAGTTCACCAAAAAAATTAAAATGCTGTCATCATTTACTCAAGTTGCTCCAGACCTGTATGAGTTACTTTCTTCTGTTGAACACAAAAGAAGGTATTGTGAAGAATGCTGGTAACCAAAGTTGCTGGCCCTGTTAGTCTATTGGGATGAAGCAATTGTTTGGTTACCCATATTTTTCATATATCTTGTAAGTTCAACAAAGAAACTCATACAGGGTTGGAACAGCTTGAGGGTGAGTAAATAATGATTTTTTTTCTCAGAATTTTGAGTTTATATCTTGCAATTAATAATTCGAAATTGCGAGATATCTGAGAAAAAAAATCTGAATTGTGAGATCAGCGGCAGCGCTCACTATTGAGAGAGAAAAAAAAGTAATTTTTAAGATAAAGAGTCGCATTTAGCTTTTTTTAAATATTTTTATTCCTTGGCAGAAATAAGCTTCCACACTCACCAGTATTAATAAAAATACTTTAGCTTAAGTGTTTTCCATGATATCTGCATAAAATAAAGTTAACAGTTTATGAACAATGAATTTCAGGTGTTGCTTCTACTTATGTGACTTGCTTTTTTTTCTGCAAAACACAAAAGATATTTTGAAGATATTTTTGTTGCTAACCAAACAGTTTAGGTTACCATTGACTCCCGTTATATGGACAAAAAGTACAATGGGAGTCAATGTGAACTGAAACAGTTTGTTTACCAGTAAAATATCTTTAAAGTCCCCATGAAGTCAAAATGAAAGTTTTTTGGGTGTTAGTATCAATATGTTAGTCTTAAGGTTATCTATAAGGCAGTGTGCTCCGAAACAGTGACAAAATTCACATTTAGAAGATATAAGCATTCAAAGCTTGCAGTTCGTCACTTCCGCCAAAACGATTTTTTTTTTGACGTCACATCGTACACATCTTCTCATCAAATCTTCTGACCAATCAAATGCTCTCTAGAATCCGAAGCGCCCGCCCCCTGCACTACAAACAGACGCTGAAGCTGCGGCTGAGATCGGTCACTTGTCCAGTGTAGGGTGACCATACGTGCCATTTTCCCAGGAAGCGTCCTGGCCAGGATTTCTATATTGCCTAAAATATCTAGGTTTTGGCTTTGTTTGCGTGTGCAGACCGATCGGTTTATGACATCAAAATACCTCGAGAGCATTTTGAAAGCATAAGGAACCGTCTGTATGGTATATACTTTAGCTTAAGTGTTTTCCATGATATCTGCATAAAATAAAGTTAATAAAAAGAATCACTTCCGCAAAGTTTCTACTATTTTCTAATTATTGATAAATAAAGGAATATATTTTTGATTAATAAATATACTCAGTTTATTTTAAAAATGCAGAAAAAAATTTCAACATTTTTGCTTTAAAAATGTTTATATATATTTTAATCATCTCTTCAGCAAAGTTTCCACTATCTTTTACTGTAGCATTTTTACAGTCTTTAACCATTAACTTCACGTCATTTTTTACAGTGTAGGGTTAGGGTTAGGGCTAGGCCAAAACCTAGATATTTTAGGCAATATAGAAATCCTGGCCAGGACGCGTCCTGGGAAAATGGCACGTATGGTCACCCTACCACAGTGTAGTATTTCCTGTACAGTGAATGGGTCGACGTGCACAATGTAGATGATAGGGAACGATTCAGACAGTGTAAAAATGCTTTCGATTGGTACAAATTCTGAAGGTCTGGTTTCACGTTGTTTCACGCGAACCACAGCAGCGCACACAGTCTGATCCGGACTTTGGCTCCGGTTCAGAGACGCGAGTCGGCATATATTAAAAACTTTTAAAACTACACATCCTCAGCATGATTATGACCACTATTTTGTTTTACTAAGAGTTTCATATTGAATCTAGGGGGTAATCTATTAGACTGTGGCTGTCAAATGCGGCTTTACCGAGCTCAATGGCTCTGGTCCGAGTAGATATAAACAAAACGCAATTGGCTATTTTAAAAGGGGGGCGGGGCTGATCGATATGTCCCGCCCTCCCTTTCTGTTTCAGTTGAAATTACGTCACCACATAGAGTAATGCTGCATGTTTCAAGGCACTTCAGGGGACCTTTAAGTTATCCTCTTTTAAATTTTTTTGATTAACTGTCCTATAAAAGCTTGTTTCCACCATTGAATAAAATTCAGATATTTTTATGTCTCACAATTCTGACCTTTTCCCACAAATTCTTGAGTTTGTCTCGCAATTTTGACTTTTTTTCACTGAATTCTGAGTTGACATCTCACAATTTATTTTTTTCGCCAGGAAATAAAACATAAAAGTAATTGCGACTTTTTTCATTTCACAAGACTCTTTTTCATCTCACAAATCTGACTTTTTTTCTCTGAATTGTGAGTTTATATCTCTCAACTGCAAGTTATAACTCGTAATTGCGAGATTACATCTCACAATTTTGACTTTTTTCTCAGAGTTTTTATAGTATCTGACAAATCTGTCTTTTTGTTTGCACCACAGAATAAAAAATAAAAAGGCAATTCCGACTTTTCATCTCACAATTCAGAATTTTTATTTAAAAAAAGTTGTGAGACACAAAGTTGCAATTACCTTTTTTTTTTCGATGGCAGAAATATTCCATAACTATCCTTTTAACTGCATTTAAATGCAAATATGTAATATTATAAACAGATTTTATTACACACACAGAACGATTATATCCCTACTAATCTTTGCCGACAAAACCTTTCATTGTAAATGCATAAAAAGAAGATGGGATGCAAATGAGAGTTATTTGTCAAAGCTGATATCCAACAGATCAAATGCCTCCATTGCAGTTCTTTCCATCGATGTACTGTAGTTCTAGGGATTCCTGTAATAGCAGTCAATTCCTTCCACTCTACAGAAGCCCATGATTTCAATAATTGCACCCATTTATGGAAATGAATCAACCTTGTTATTTATACCTCGTTCACAATATTCCCAAGTTCCCTGCCCTAAAAATGACCTATTTTGAATGCAAAGGAAAAAACAATTATGGAAAATGAGGATTAGGGCTGTCCGGTGACCTGCAGGGTGTTTTGCGTGAGTAACCTTAATCTGAGCAAACGGGTGTAGTAAAAAAGAAAAGAGAAGCTTTTTACTAGTATTTCACTGCCTGCTCTAGTTTTACCGCACTGCTCCAATTTACTAAAACAATTAATGTCAATAACATATTCGAATCGAGTTTGATAATTAATTTACTGCATCATACAGTGCTACGTAATAAAACACCAAATTTCCCCACATGAGCTAAGAGATTGGTTCAAGTTCTTCATCTCAACAAACAACTAAGCATTCATGCCTGTAGAAGGCAAACATGACCAAAGCGTTGCCCGTGACTCCTAAAGTGCCGATGATGAGGATGAGGAAGGCGATGATGTAATGCACATGATCCGGGATGTCCAGTCTTCTGTAGATCTGCCGTTGAGGCTCCATCACCAAACGGAAGATACAGCAACAAACACTGAAGAACAGCTCTTCAACAAACCAAACCTGAGCGCAGACTCAGTCATGGTCTCGGTCTTCTGTTTCCCACATCACTTCCTCTCAGTCTGTCTCTGCTCAGAGTAAGAGAGAGTTTAGTTCAACACTATAAGTAACAGCAACAGATGGACACACTGCTACCTACTTGTCACATGACACACCCCTGACATTCTGTCCTCTTTGAACATGGCTAGAAGAAGAGAAAACACATGAGACTAATTGAAACCAGACAAAAGATGAGTTGAAATGAGAGCATGTGTCAGATAGATTACAGTGCTTTCCTCTTTCATCACTGATGTAATGGATGTGAGGGTCAGAGAGAGATTCTGAATGAGAGAGAGAGTGAATGAGGGTTGAACATGTACAGCTGCAGTGATTCAAGCTTCTCTGAGCTCAAGGAATCACCAGGAATGTTTCTTCGGACTTCAGAAATGCCATTTTAGCATGCTACTACAGTATTTACTAATATTTCATATTTTCAGATTTCATTTCGATTTTAGTTTACATTTCAGTAATTTTGTTAGGTTCTATTTCTATTTAGCTTTTAATTATAAACTTATTTCAGTTAGTTGCCAAGGCAGTATTTCTATTATTAAAAAATAGTTTTTCATTTCAGTTAGCAATAACAACAATGCAGTCTATAGTTTAATCTTCTGTTTTCACCACTCAAAAATCTGTAAATAAATAATCCAAACAAACAAATGAACAATATTATTTCAATGACAAGCTTGACTATTTTATTTGACAAATACAAAGCTTTGCTAAAAACATTAGCAGACTTTTAAAAAATATTTCTAGCTTTAATTCATTTTTTATTATTATTTAAGTTTCTAATTTTCTGTTTACTTTTTCATCTAATATCAGTATTTTAGCTTTAATTTTTTCTATCTCAGAAAATGATTTTTAATAGTTTTAGTTAACAACACTGCAATCCACAATGCATTTATGAACGGGCTTCTGTCTTTCATCCATATCTGAAAATTCAAAATCCAACCTGATCTCATGAGGAAAACATATGAATTTGTATGATATAATTTGTGACCCTGGACCAATCATAAGGGTCAATTTTTCGAAATTGAGATTCATACATCATCTGAAAGCTGAATAAATAAGCTTTCCATTGATGTATGGTTTGTTAGGATAATAACAATATAATATTGTTAGGACAATATTTGGCCAATATTTGAAATCTGGAATCTGAGGGTGGAAAAAAAATCTAAATATTGAGAAAATCACCTTTAAAGTTGTCCAGATGAAGTCCTTAGCAATGCATATTACTAATCAAAAATTAAGTTTTGATATATTTACGGTAGGAAATTTACAAAATATCTTCATCGGGCATGATCTTTACTTAATATCCTAATGATTTTTGGCATAAAAGAAAAATGTATCATTTTGACCCGTACAATGTATTGTTGGCCATTGCTACAAATATGCTCGTGCTACTACATAAGCTTTTGTGCTCCAGGGTCACATTTGTAGAAAAACATAATTTTTTGGAAAAAATGTAAGCAAGAAGGTCCACCGCTAAACCTAACTGTCAGTGGGGAGTAAGCAGATTGTTTGAAAACATACAAATCAAATTCATTTTATTTAGCCACTAATATGCCAAATTGTAAATAGTTACAAAATGCATGAGTGTGTGTTGGCCAAAACTCATTTTAAATGGTCGTTTCCACTGAGTAGCATGAATCACTTTGAGTAAATTCACTGTCCTCTGTGTAGCTTTATACTTTTTACCACTTTTAATTTATTCGATGTGATGTATTAGTATCACTTTTACTATACTTAAACTTACTTCTCAACCATTTATGAAGTATGTTCTAGCATGCAGAGTGTTGCTGCATCCAAAATAGTATCATTTCCTTCTATACAGTAGGCAAAAACAGTGTTTAAAGTACGTCAAATTCAAAGTATTAATAAAAAAAGTTGGGAAAAACGTAGTTTCCGGATAATTTACTACATCCAGCGAGCTTGATTATATTGTCAAAGAGTTCTGCTGTTGCACATTTGACAAATACAAAGCTTTGGTATAACATTAGCAGAAAACACACTGTGACCATCTTGTTTTATCCTACAATAACCAGCGAATAAAAAAGCTTAATGGATCGTCCTAAGAGACCTTGTGTGTCTGTCCACATGTTCTCTCATCACTTTAGCACCGTAATCCAGGCATCACTTCTGTTCTCTCCACGGCAGTCAATGGCCTCTGTGGGATTATATCTCTCTCCATAATCCTACATTTTAGCTAAAACCTCACCGACAATAACAGCATTACTCTAATTCAGCCTATATGAAAAGCATGCTCACAGTTACACACCAGCCTCCAGCAGATTATATTATAGCTCAAGGAATCAATCTAACTAACCTGGAACATAAGAGGTTCTCACTCCTAATCTGAGATCTGCGGGAGCACAATTTACATCATTTAGAAATATAAGGTTCTTGATTAATGGAGATGAATGTGCACCATTCAAAAGTTTGGGGTCAGTACGATTTTTTGAAAGAAATTAATACTTTTATTCAGTAAGGATGCACTCAATCGATCAAAAGTGACAGTAAAGACATTGTTTAACAACACTTCTATTTCTAATAAATGTTGCTCTTTTGAGCTGTCTATTCATCAAAGATCCCTGAATAAAAATATGAAGCAGCACAACTGTTTTCAACATTGATAATAATCCGAAATGTTTCTTGAGCAGCAAATCGGCATATTAGAATGATTTCTGAAGGATCATGTGACACTGAAGACTGAAGTAATGATGCTGAAAATTCAGCTTTGCATCACATGAATAAATTATATTTTACTATATACTCAAATAGAAGACAGTTATTTTTAATTGTAATAATATTTCACAATATTACTGTTTTTACTATATTTCTGAACAAGTAAATGCAGCCTTGGTGCACAAGAGTTACTGACCCCCAAGTTAAAGAACGGTAGTGTGTGTGTGTGTGTGTGTGTGTGTGTGTGTGTGTGTATCCTACAGATTTACGTTGACGTAGAGATCAAGAGACTTGCAGGTGGGACCTTTTACCCATCAACCACAAAGAACACCTTAGCAACTGCCTAGCAACCACCTACAACATTCTCAACTCACAATCTCGTTCAGATGAGTGGAGAGATTTAGTGATCCTGACATCTGATATTTCTATAGGACAGCTGCACATGTAAAGTCTGATGTAAGCCTCTTTAGCCTGTCTTGAACAAATCATCCCTCTGCAGCATTGTGCATTAATGTAACAATGGTATGAACTGAAATGTCTGTTTAATCAAGAGAATGTTTTGCAGTAGTTATATCATAAATTATATGAATGTTAGGTTGAAATGTGATTTCAACCAATGCAAAAGACAGAAGCAGAGGAACGTGATAAATCAAGTCTAATGTGCAAAAATAAAACATTATTTAGAAAATCTGCCAAATGCAAACAGAAAATAAGCTTTCACTTGAATTCTGTTGACATTTATGTAGTCAATTTGCAATTAAATCACAATCTTTGTTTCTTTTTTTTGGGGGGGGGGGGGGGGGGGGGGACTGATTCGTCTTATCCATCCAAATCATGGAAATAAATCATGAGTTCGTAATTATTATCTGACTCCACATGGCTGACGATCTATTCCCCAGTGAAATAAGATAACGTGTAATTTACCAAGGCATTAAACTTTGCTATCAGAGTCATGTCACATCTTAATCTTTTGTTGTCTTGGGATTACTCTTATTTTGGGCCAAGGTGAATTGTCATGTATTTTTTTTATCTGGAATGAATAGTTTTGATTACTTGCTGATCCTCTGTTGGGCTTAAACGTCAGCTTTATGGGGAGAAATGTGTCAACCTGGGCAGAAAAGAAGGAAAGGAGGGTATTTTAGGGCATTATCACGGACACATTGAATATCAAAGAACAATTGTGTCATGAATCATGATCACCTGAAACTGATATCAATACAACAGCACTCTTGTGGCTTGCTTGTTTGAAAATGCTCATCTATCAGCCCGAATAATGCTCTCTGTCCAAGATCAAATTTGGGTTTAGGGCAAAAATGCAACCCAAAATGCGGGCTTAAAATGTGGTGTTATGAAATTTCCCTTTATGCTAATCACAGGGGATTCAAATACATCAAAATCTACTGTAACAATAGACAGTTTAATGCAAGATACAGTCAGACATGTATTCTAGCACAGCAGAGCTGAAACACAGGCATCACTAATAGCCTAACAACAACAAAAAATAACTCAATCTTCTTTGAATGGGCTTAATCTTTAGTTTTCTCAGAAATCTTTTGCTGACATCTAGTGTTTAAAATACAAAGAGCTTTCTGTGTGCCTCAGATGATGGACTATTGTTAAAATATAATTTCTTGTATTGATTATGTTAATTATTTACGGTAAAACACCTCATACTGTAGCTATGTTATCGATCAAATAATTTAAAAAACTGTATAAAATAAGGTGTAGCCTATATAACTAAATAAAATCAAGCAAAACTTTTTATTATTAAATGACACTAAAGGCGAAGAACATGTCATAATATTTCTAAATATTTAATTCTCATTTTCCTACAAGTTTAAGATGCTAATTTTGGTCGCAAACAAATAGGCTATTTGAGGTTCGTCACAACTTAAACTATTACGCCACCGTTAGCCAAACACCAACTAGGCTGTATTAAAGAAACAAAATATTTGTGATATTTAAATGTAGCCTATATTAAAGTGATAAATTAAGGTTTTATTTTGTTGACGCAGAAGCAAATCCATATATACATACTAGTGCTGTCAAACGATTAATCGCGATTAATCGCATCCAAAATAAAAGTTTTTGTTTTGTCGACGCACCATTCGACGCTGAAGCAAATCTGCCTTCAATACAAACACATGCATGTATATATTTAAGAAAAATGTGTTACGCTTATATATTAAATATATTTATATATGATATAATTTAAATGTAAATATTTTCAAAATATGCTGTGTGTGTCTTTATATATACATAAAAATATACACAGTACACACACATATATTATGTAAACAAAAACTTTTCAACTGCGTGGTATATCTACTGTTTTGACTGTCTTTTGAGAAAGATTTGTAATTACAAAGCTTTAAAATAAATTTAAAGATACACCCGCGTAAAATGAAATGTCTGGCATTCTTTTTAATGAAATCAATAAGTCACATTTTTGATGGCAAAATGATAGGCTTTTAAAACATCAAGGCAGAAAAATGAAGAGATGCATTTTTTTTGCAGACATCCATGAACTTACATGAGCAAAAATAAATAAAGAGCTACAGAAGCTATAAAAGAGTCTTTGGGATTCATAAAAGTGTGTAGCTAGAAGGAAAAGAGAGGCAGAGACGTTAAAGAGAAACCTCTGATACAAAAGAAAAACCACATCACTTTGTCCTTCCACCACTAGCAGCCTAAAAACTCACAGTGCAAACATTACCTCAGAAGAGAGAGACGTTTACTACACTACATGACAGCTATTCATCACAACCATCTTTATCTATAAATTCATCAGTCTAAATACTGATTCAAAATTAATAGTATAAAAAAAAACAATAATTATATAAATTCATTTGTCCCTCAACTTTGCCCTTGAAGAGAATAATACAAGAGGACCCATCTGACTAAGGACAAGAACTGGTTGCAGAATCATACAGTAAGTGCCATAAAAAGGGCTTGTAGATTTGAAAACATACACAGTTTGGCGTATAAACATGTTTAGTATGCTTTAAAAGATCAAATATTGCATGATGGACAAACAACCTCTGAGCTGGGCTTGCCTTCAAATATATGCATGCTCGCTTATGAAATATTACAACATTTATTTACTGTGATTCAACTACATGTTTGAAAACCGTTTTGTTATTACACTGAGTGCAGAAGCTCTTGCTGTTGGTGCAGGAATTTGGTGTATAATGGAAGGTTCACAAGAAAACACTTTCATCCTCATCTCACCACATATACAATGTTCCAAGCTAAATGCTGTAGGTTTGGCTCTTTTATTACGTTATAGCTTATTGTTGACTAACTATGATGATTTTGAAGGGTTGAATGGGGCATATATTAATTTTGGCTGCAACTGCAAATGTATTTGTTGCTTCTCAGCTGAGGTCAGTGATGTTGGTGTTCCTGATATTGTTGTTATTTTGATGATGTTGTTCTTGGATCACAGATACTGATGGTCACGATCTGTAGCTGGTGTTTTTGAGGTGTTCAGTTGGTGCAGGTGTTGATGTTCTTGCCGTCAGCTGCATCATCAACCAGAGACAGATGGTAGTCTGTGGCCAGAGTGAAATGAGAAATGCATCCCACTAAACCTCGCATGTACTGCCTGTTAGTGTGCAACGCGATCTCCTTCATCCCCCCTGGAGAAGTTTGAAATCAAAATCACCAACAGAACTAGACAAATACATGCACAATTCATACACTACATTCAAAAGCTTTTCAATGTTTGTTTTTTTAAAGAAGTCTCTTATGCTTACCACAGCTGAATTTATTGGATCAAAAATACAGCAAAAACAGTAATATTCATGAAAAATTATTACAATTTAAAATAGCTATTTTCTTTTTCAATAGACTTGTAGAAATGTAATTTATTCCTGATGATGCAAAGCTGAATTTTCAGCACTGTTACTCCCGTCTTCAGAGTCACATGATTCTTCAGAAATCATTCTAATATGCTAATTTGCTGCTTAAGAAACATACAAAAAGTTGAAAAGGGGTGTGCTGCTTCATATTTTTTTTATCAAAACTGTAATCAATTTATTTCAGGATTCTGTAATGAATAGAAGGTTCAAAACAAACAGTTTCTTAACATTATAAATGTCTTTACTGTCACTTTTAAACAATTTAATGCATCTTTGCTGAATAAAATAATTAGTTTCTTTCAAGAAAACCACTTCTGAATGGTAGTGTTTTTTTATTCCTACTTTATTTCATACACACTCTTGTATGAACATCTATTGTCATTATCATAATTGTTATCACATTTCAATTAACGTCGTAATTGTGTTTAATCTTACCAATGTAAAGGTCACCATTGATGTTCAGCTGTCTCATCTTTCCAGGAGATCTGCCTGTTTTAGCTCCGTAATCATCAACGGTTAGTTTACCAGACTGTCCATCCCTTCAAACAGAGACAAACCGTCTTGACCGTTAAACTGAGAAAACTACGGCCGTCTTAAATGATGCAAATTGCCTGACATTTGACGTAGTATTTACGTTTAAACAGTTTTCACTCAGAAATTACTATCAGGTTTCACAAAAAAAACAAAAAACATGCTGAATTATGTGAAATTTTGATGAAGAAATACATCTGATGGCAAATGTCTGACCTGACAGCCTTCACTCTGTGCCATTTGCCATCACTAAATGTGCCATTAATGACCACGGTGCCGGCTCCGCTACCAAGATTATAACTGTAGAGAGAAGAAGAGATGTTAGGAGGATCTTAGGATCTGTAAATTGTCTGACATATGTAACTATCATGCCTTTAAGCATACTGCAGGTGGATATGTTGTTATACCTGAAAATGAGCGCTCCGTCTTGAAGGCCGAGAGACAGGTAGTCACTGTTGGCTCTCATTGGACTGTCCCCCCGCCATAGTAAAAGACCATCTTTAGACGTGCTCTTAAAACGCATGAACATGTTTGTTCTGGAACCTGATACCCTGCAGAGACACGCACCGTTATTTTAGCACGTGTGCATGCATGTACAGTATGCACAAAAAAGACAAAAACTTTATATGAAGCATAGAGTGCAACAATCGAGTTCTTTGGGTAATAGATTTTTAACAGGCCTACATTGAGCTCCAAGGTTGTTAATCAATGGTATGTGCTTTTGATGACGCCATCTGTTTGGATTATTTCAAATTACTTGATTTAACAGTGGAAGTCGAAGTGGAAAACTACATTACCCATGATGCTGTGCAAAATTCCACCAATCAGAGATTTGCAGTGAGCAAATTGCACCAAAAGAGTTTTCAAGGAACACACTCTCCCATGAAGCACTGCAAATGATGTAATGCACATTTTGCATAAAACTATTGTTTTTATAGTTATAATCAACAACTTCAAATCAATAGTTTTATATTTCACCATTGTTTTTCATTTGATTGTCATTTGCAGGGCTTCAATGGATTGTAGTTCTCTCCCTCACTAAAACAGTTAAGCACATATTCTTTTATGTCTGATTTTCAAATACTTTTTTCCTTAAAATCCAATTTTGTAATGTTGTGATTCACCTCATAGCTGCTTGGTTTAGTTCACGGCATATAATGCATTAACAAAGACTTGTTAAATACTTCTAGAACCAAGGCTGCTGAACAAGTATGCAGGGACTAATTCACTCTATTGATTCGAGCTCAGTTATAGAGTGTAAAAGCAAAAGTACTCTACCTTTTGAGGATATCTCTGTTGTCGTATGTCAGATAGCTGCGTCCTGTGAACTGAGGGATCTCAATAGATTCAGTGACAGCTGATACAGTGAAACACAAAAGTGCACAACTCTGTTACATTCACTAGATGGCAGCACACATCATAAATACACTAAAGCCATTCTTATTAAAGAGCAGACATAAATAAGATTTTGCCTGCTGTACTTACTGTTTAAGCAATAATTCCCACATTCTGCACAGTGAGAGCACAAAACAGAATAAAAGAAGCTTAAGAAAGATTTTGAGGTGTTATGGAAGATGTCTGCAAAGAATATCAGAGCGACATCTCAGTCTAAAAAATGCTACGGAAGGAAAGTTTTCACTTAGCGCTCAGTCCCACTCCTGGATATCTGCCTTCCTGCAGAGTGCAGTTTCAACCTTATACTAATAATATGAGAAGCACTGTGCAAAGCTTAGTAGTTTGCACTGTTTTCAGCTATATTCATATTGTTATTTGCATTTTAATCTAATTTTGTATTTAAAAACACAACCTGATCAAATAATAATTCAAAGAGGAGTCATAACAGGCATGGAAGATTAAACGTAGTGCAGTGCATTCTGAGATACTGTATTTTTTTCCAGTTTAATTCACTTTTATTTTGATAGTTTTTGTCATTTTTTAACGTGCTTTTGACATTAAAATGACATAAAATAATAGATAAAGTTTATAGATAATAATTATAATATTAATTATACAAATACGTCTATGTTAATTTCTATATAGCTGTAAATAATCTTTATTTTTGCTTAAGTTTTAGTCATTTTAAAATTATTTTAGTTAAGTAAAAGGCAACCTTTCTAAGTATTAGGATTTTTTTTATTATTTCAATTGCCAAAAGTGATTTTCAGTCTTCAGTTAACAATAACATATAACATAAATTCATATAGGAAATTTGCATACCTTGAAATAGTAAGAATAGTAGTTTGCCAGTAAATCATTTGACATTGCCTACTTTTGGAATGAAATACTAGCATACTGTATGGTGCACATCATATACTGTATAGTGCAGTAAACTCTATTTTTAATGGATATAGTATGTTTTTCCGCATACTGCACATTATGCATTTGGCAATAATTGCATTTATTTTTCAATTATTTATTATTTAAATTTGGCATTTATGATTTAATTATCAGCTCTTTATTAACTGATGAACCCCCACTGGACAGAATTTCTTTGAAACAAAAATACTTTTAAGCACAACATTTGACAAAACAAAAAGACTTTAAGATTTGAAAATCATAAAACAATAGATAAAGCTGTTCAAAATAAAGACAAAATCTATTTGGACACTCATAGTTATGGGGTATGTCAAACTAACCAATGTCTGCTCCGCTCAGTGCATTTCCTTTAGGCCAGGGTCGGATGTCAATGGCTTTACTGTTGACAGTCAAACTCTGCATGCAGCCCTGAAAGCCACGATTGGTGCCCACCGCCCTCACCAGCCAATAGGCATTCGGAGCTCCGCCCAAAAACAAAGGCGTGCGGAACGTTATTTTAGTGTACTGACCCTAAAAGAGAGAAGAGGTTGTTAGATGCATTTCATAAAATGGATAGTTCCAGTCCTGGATGCTGACTGGTGAGTTCAGCACATGACACAAAACCAGCCACAACACCTGACTTCATTTTTTTATAATTTGTGCTGTGTTTGTGTATGAAAGCATGCGTACCTGAGAACGGCCTGACACCGGTGTGTCATTGTCTAGTCTCAGCCAGCCATTCATGCCGTCTCTAAATATTGTGACCATGTGCCACTGTCCAATCACAATGGAGCTGCCACTTACAATCTGAGCTGCACCCGTACCGCAGTTAAACCTGTGCACATAAAATTCAAGATCAACTACTACTAATCACAAAATCAATTAAATTTCATTGAGGAAAAAAAAATTTTAATGAATCAATATTTCTCAATAGGATAAGTGAAAATGGAAATACCTGCGATTACAGTGTAGCCAAAAAAAAAAATTTTTTTAAATGATAGTTTTAGATTAAATAATACTAATCGATAAATTGATATAAATGGGGGGGGGGGGGGGGGGGGGGGGGGGGGGGGTTAAACCTTTTTTTTTACACACACATACAGATTTAATTGATTTCTTTCATAAATTGTGTTGACTGCTCTAAAATATGAGACACCAATGTTTCAGGAGACTAGGACACAGAATAAGATGCATGCTTATTCAATAATTCTTTTATTTCCTTTTTGGGCTTATGTATGCTTTATTTTTTAAGAGGGGGGACCATGGTTCAATATGTAAGTAGTCTAAGAAAGAAATCAAAACAACAATGCAAATATTATGTATTATACAGTATAAATGTTATGTAAATATTATGTCTAGTATTAAGTCTTTTTTTGTCAAAATCATTTTTGTTTTGTATTCATTTTTGGTTAAATATATACATATAAATACACATTCACACACACACATTTTTTATATGTATGTATGTGTATATATATATATACACATATATGTGTATACATATTGGTCTTTATATATATATTATATATTTTTTTTGAGGTCCCCATGAGGAAACAAGCTTATAAATCATACAGAATTAGTTTTTTTGAGAAAGTAAAAATGCAGAAAGTTTCCTGTGAGGGGTAGGTTTAGGGGTAGGGTTGGTGTAGGGCAATAGCACATACAGTTTGTACAGTATAAAAACCATTACGCCTATGGAATGTCCCCATAAAACATGGAAACACAACATGTGTGTGTGTGTGTGTGTGTGTGTGTAAATCACAATCCAGTACGCAACTGCATCTTAAGTATGCATTACTTTAAAATATAGAGCACATCCGAGATGAAAATTAGCTACAAAACAGAGCTTGACTGGAATCAGCATGAGGTGAAGAACTGTATTTAAAATCGGAGATACCTGTAGTGTAGTTTTCCCCGTACGAGGGCCAGGGAGGTGAAATCTCCTCTACCGTGTTCATTCTCTCCACAATACAACAGCAATCCATCCTCAACCTCTGCCTGAGAGGTCAAAGCAGTCATTCATAAGCGTCTGATCTCAAAACCCTCTCAAACGCATCAAAGTCTGCCTGTATATGTGATTACCTTAAACTCCAGGCTGATCTGGAAGCTCTGGTAAGAGTTTTTAAGAGGTTCAAACGTCATGTGGGAGTAGCCATAGAACTTTGGGAAATTTACCGTCAGACCTGTAAGACACAAAGCTAAGCGGTTACAGTACTTCCTGTGACACTCGTTTTTTCAGTCTTAGATTTGTACATGCACACACCCTCCGTATACTGTGTGTTTCAGTCTCGAGAGTCTATAGATCCGAACACTATGACTGAAGGTCATAGAAAATGATTTCTTTCAGTCCGTTTGGACAAGCTTTCTGGCCCGTCATCATCTTCTGTGACAGCGCTGTGATTACGGAGCGTTTCATCTCTTGGGCACAAATCCCATAGTTCATCACTGCCATGTTGGGGTACAGCCACATCCACATGACCCTTAGCCCAAACCCTAATTTAATGCAAATGAAAGTTTTGTGAGTTTTAGTCAATGTTTATGACAAAGGTTTGGGGTTGGTAGGATTAAATGTTTTTGAAAGAAGTCTCTTCTGCTCACCAAGGCTGCATTTATTTGATTAAAAATACAGTGATATTGGGAAAGAATTCAAAATAAATGAAGAGTTCATTTGCAAAAACAGATAACTCCCTTTTTAACGGTTTTCAAAAATCATGTTTTTTCATTGTGCATTCCAATTAATCTCATTTAAACTGCAGTTGGGTTATTTTGATTAGCTCAAAAATAACTAAAAAATACTAGCTAACTAACACAATACAAACATATTAACATAAAAAAACATGATTTTTGAAAATGTAAAAAAAAAACAGAGTTATCTGTTTTGGCAAACAAACTCTTCAAATGTTTTCTATTGTAATGCATTTTAAAATGTAATTTATTCCTGTCATGCAAAACATCATCATTCCAGTTGTCAGTGTCACATGATCCCTCAGAAATAATTTTTGCTGCTCTAGAAAACATTTCTTATTATTAGTAGAAATGCTTTTTTGGAAACCATGATACATTTTTCCAGGATTCTTTGATGAACAGAAAATTCAAAAGAACAGCATTTATTTGAAATAGAAATCTTGCAAAAAGCAATACTACATTTTGCCAGATAGAAATATTCAAACAAATCTGAAGTGGAAATATCTGTTTATAGTGGAAACCGATACTATATAATAATTCAGCATAGTTTACTTTAGGATCAGGTAAGTTTGGAACCAACGGAAGACATTTGGGGCCTAGAGGCTATATGAAAGAATATATAACATACATGTATATTATTTGGCCATTACCCAAGCTGACGTTTTGACACTCAGAATGACTTCAGCTCACAAGAATAGTGACATTTCATGCAATTGCAATTTTCAGCACAACATATATTGCATTTAAAAATATTGAAACTGATATGCAATACAGTGAGAGACTTAGGACAATAAAGCAATATCTTGTCTGTGGAGTCAACTTGATTTAGAATGTTATTGTACTCGCTCTGAAAAGGTTAGACATAGTGAGGAATGCCAGGGGAATAGACAACAGCACATGAAAACCTCCCCACTCAAAGATTACACACTCCCAAGAGACCTCAGAGAAGACATGAGAGAGAGATGGAGGAAGAAATGAAATGAAAAAGGCAAAGAGACACAAATTCTTCACCCATCTGAGAGAGAGACTGAGCTCTAGAAGAGTTTAGTAGATTTGAAATCTTACTGAATCCAACTAAACTTCAAAAAACATCTGGGTGTATCATGTCTACTAAGAAAAGAGACGAAATAGCCTATCAGTGATTCGTTCTAAATTATTATTTATCTTATTTTTTTCAAATACCACATATAAAATATACTAGGTTTCAGAAAAAAGGTGTCATAGGTTACCGCATCTGTCTCGCTGACCACCTTAGATCGTCTAAACAGCAGAAAAGAGTCAGAGTTCGCACTTTTTTTAAGCCAATCCACAAACCAGCCTATTAGAACGTCTCTGCATGTTCATTTAGCATGTTTTAGTGGGTGGGGCTTTGGTGAAAGGGCGTGGTCTAATTCAGTGGCATCATTCAAAGGGATAGTTCGCTCAAAAATGAAACCGATTTCGAACAAGGTGCGGGTGAATCAATGATGACAATTTCATTTTTGGTGAACTTTCACTTTGAGTCTGGTAGAAATTAGCAACATGGTAAAATGTTTGTGTTGTGTAATCTAACATAACTATAACATGCCGGCCAAACGTGTGGAATAATTACATTCTTTTAAAGGGGTCATATGATCATTATTTGGTGTATTTGGTGTAACAGAATATGTTGACATGCTTTAATGTTCAAAAAACACATTATTTTTCAAATACTGTACATTATTGTAGGTCCTCTATGCCCTGCCTCTCTCAAACGCTTAGTATTCTACAAAGTCCCTCCTTCCGACAAGCGCAGTCTGCTCTGATTGGCCAGCTGACCCAGTGCATTGTGATTGGCCGAACACCGCAAGCACTCGTAGAAAATTTCGGAAAAACTCCGCATTTGAACAGTCAATAGCAAATACTTAAACTAATAACAAACCAGTAGCTTATTCAGCAGCGCCAGATTGTCATAGCAAAGGGAGAATGACCTCCTCTCCTAGGTTCACGAAACGGTCGTCCATAAAATGCATTGCTGTTCTGTTGTAAGTCATCTTAAAGATTCCTAAATGCATCTACTTTCGGAAGGCCAAATAAAGTGCTTTTGCTTTCGCCTAGAAACACACAGCGTCTCCCTTACATGCTGCTTCAACACTAACTGTGGTTACTGAAACCACGCCTTCTTTCTTTGCGTGCACATTTGGGCGGCAGTATGCTAATATTTCCACATAGTGAGGTAGATATGGGGGGGCGTGTTAGAACGAGCCGTTTTAGGGGGGCGTGGCAGAGTCTTAACGTTGATAAAGAATATCTCTTTGGTTTTGAGACTTTAGTCTTTGCAACTTCAGGGATCTTATCTATGCACAATCAGCTTGTAACACTCCAAAGAGAAAGGAAAACTTGAAATCGCATCATATGACCCCTTTAATGTTTTTGAAGTCTGTTATTCTCACCAAGGCTGTATTTATTTGATCAGAAAATACAGTAAAAATACAGTAATATTGTAAAATATTATTGTAATTTAAAATAACTGTTTTCAATTTGAATGCAATTTATTCCTGTGATGCAAAGCTGAATTTGTAGCATCATTACTCCAGTCTTCAGTGTCACATGATCATAATGAATAGTGAAAATAGTTGTGCTGCTTCATATTTTTGTGGATACCATGATACCCTTCCATTCAAAAGTATAGGGTAAGTATGATTTAAAAAAAAAAATAGACAATAATTTTATTTGGCATGGATGCCGTAAACTGGTTTAAAAAATGACAGTAAATATATTTATGACATAACAAAAAAATTATATTTCAATAAATCCTATTCCTAGAATACGAAAGAACGGCTTTCTACATTGATAACAAGAATCAGTAATCAGTAACTGAACACATAATAACTGATAATTATTGAGCAGTAAATCAGCATATTAGAATGATTTCTGAGGGATCATGTGACACTGAAGACTGGAGTAATGATGCTGAAAATTCATCACAGGAATAAATTGCATTTTAAAAAATAGAAAACAATTCATTTAAATTACAATAGTATTCCACAATATTACTGTTTTTACTGTATTTTTGATCAAATGGAGCATTGGTGAGCAGAAGCGATTATCTCAAAAACATTTTTAAAATCTTAATTGCTCCAAACTTTTGGCTGGCAGTTAATATTAAACATCAAATACAGTATGTACTGATTTACGTCATTCAGAATATTGACTCTCATTGTAAACAAACTCACCTTCTGAGCAGAAGTCTCCCTGGTGACCGAGGTTGCAGTGACATCGAGAGCCTCCAGTGTCGTAATCGTTGATGCAGAAGCTGTCGGGGGGGCAGACCGTCTCGTCACATGGTACATCATAGACCCGGGGTCTTTGCCCTTTCCACGGCGTCATTGACGGACTGGGAGAAGGCGTGGTGGGGGCGGAGCCTGTCAGTATAACAGGTGTGGTGGTTGTACTGGAGGTGGAGCTAGTGAGCATTGTTGTGGTTACAGGAGTTGTTGATGTGGTCCATGCTGCCGCTGTAGTTGGAGTGAAGCTGATATTTTGGGAAGCAGGTGTACGCATCCTATAAATAACATTTCCGTTTCTGGGAGTCCCGACGTGGGTGCGGAGCTGAGACCGTCTGCCGCTTTTCTTACTGCTAGTTAACGACTTTACCTGCAAGAAATGTACAGATGAATGCCAGAAAGATTAAATAACAACACATTCTTTGTAAAAAAAATTTAAAAAAAGATGTTTAGAATTTTTCAAGTTCTCTCTTTTTTCGGTGACTTTTGCCTTTTTAATTTTAGGTTTCTTTAACAACATAAAAGATGGCTCACCTCCTCAATGAAGACGTCATAATCTGAGTCATCGATTTCAAAGCCGTCCTCATCTTTACTGTCAGAGTTTGAGATGTAGACGTCATAGTCTCCACTGCCTATATCTGCTGAACCTGTTTGTTTTTTTTTAAATAAAGCAGTGTATATTTCAGTCATTTGACCTCATACCAAATACAGTAAGTAAGCAGGAAAAAAATCATCATGATTTCATGTACAAAACACCTGATTTTAGATTTCAAAAACATACTAGAAACATAGATTCTGACAGCACACAGATTTTTTTTTATTTATTTATTTATTTATTTTTTTAAGAAATTGGGTCTGTGTGTACAGGAAGAGGTAAACTGAATTGGAATGACAAGAGTAACCCAAGCGTTGTTAATAAACTAAAACGTAATTTTCATGAATCGAAATAAAAGCTGAAATAAAATTAAACAACTTTTAAAAAACTTGAAAATGACAAATATTGCCTTTGCAGCTATCCGAAATAAAATAAGTACTAAATTACTCAAATACTGAAATAAAAAATAAATTAATGCTATATAGAAATATTAAAAATGAGTACAAACAAAATTACTCAAATTAAAATTAAAACCAAAAATATGAAACTAAAAGCTAATTAATAAATGCTATAATAGTGTATAAATAATACTAAAATAACACTATTGCACCTTGGTCAACAAAAGCTTTTTTTATATGAAATATACCAACTAAATGTACATTTCTATATTTCTGAATATTTTTTAAATCTGTGTTTCTTTTGGAAATGCATTTCAATTCTTCTTTACGTTTGATTTCAAATTTTAATTCTGCATTCTGTTTTCTACCTCAATTCAAATTCAGGTATTACATTAGAATTTATATGACATGCTCAATTCAGTTCCCAAAACAGGGACTAAATTGTAACAAATGTTGCGATTACTCTTTGTTTTAATGCACTTTTACATTTCAGAACTGACCCAAATGTAATTTTGTACCTAAAATGAACACATGAGCTGGTCAGTGGTTGTCTAAATCCAGTTGTTTTTGGGTGGATCCAACTGGTTGGATGTCTAGACCAACAAAATTTAAGCAGCAAATTCTTGTTTGGGGGGTCTCTGTTCTTAATCCGTCTACTGGAGGGTTTGGGAAGGTAACTAGCTGTAATCTTCCTCCTTGTGGCGTTTGTGTGACAAAGAGGAGCATCTTCCTCAAAATGAACAGGCTTTAAGATGCTTAATTTAATTAGTCTGGTCTTTCCAGCCACCATGCACGCAAACAAACCTGTGAGGAGCATCCAAACTATAACGATCACAACATAAACCATGCAAACCACACACTTAAGTATAGTCATTTAGACCCTTTTATCACAATGGTGAACCAGTAACCTTACAGTAGCCAGACCTGAGGGTCTCATAAGGTCCTGTCCTGAACGCACTGTAACTCACCGAGAGTGTGCACAGGGTTGTTGATGGCACTGGGAGGGCTGATGCCGTGTGCGTTCACAGCTCTGATGACAAACTGGTACTCCGTCTCAGGAATCAGACCCTTGAGCACCATAGAGTTTGACTCTACTGGCTCTCTGATGTGCGTCCACTCAGTGTCCATCTCCGATCTGCAACACACACACACACTTGTAAGTTAATTGTAACACTAAAACTCTACTAGATTTTTTTAAAGCAAATATGAAGACAAATTTGCAATGATTATGCTAGGGTCCAGCCCAAGTTTATAATTATGACTTTAGGTCTCGCCCTCACAACAAATTCATGGAACTTTTTGCAGGTTTTATAGTTAGGCAGGTGACAATGTGGTTAGGCAGGATTTAAATCCTCAACTTGATTGAAATAAAGTTGAATTAAAATAAAATAAAACATTGAATGAAAATCTTACACTCTAAAACTTTTGCCAAGGCAAAAAAATGTTTAAGTTAAAGTTGAAATAGTAAAATAACTACAACTAAAACAGATTTTTTTTATTATTATTAAGAAACTAAATAGAAATATTACAAAATAGCAATAATAAAATTACAAAATTACAAACAAAATTACTAAAACCAATTTAAAATTACATTTAAAAATGACAGGGCAGATTGAAATCCTTAAATGCAGTAAATAAAATAAAATATAAATATAAAAAAAAAATCTTACACTTAAAAACTTAACAATGAGAAATGTTGCCTTGGCAACTAACTAACTATTATTTATTTATTTAGAAACTTAACAGAATTTTTTTTTATATATATACTGTATAATAATAAAAACAACTAAATCCCAAACACAAAATAAAACAAAAATTAAAATGAAAACTGAAAATGTAAAAATAAAAGCTATGAAATAATGTAAATAATAATAAAATAGCACGCTGGTCCTTTGGTTGACAAAAGTTAAGTTGACAAATATGATGAAATATATAAATGCAAATTTCTACAGGTGGCACTTCCCACATTACATTCATATACTTTTCTTTGAATATCTTTGAAATTTGAATATTTCTTTGAAAATTCATTTCAGTTCTTTGCATTCAAATTCAATTTGAAATTCTGCATCCTGCTTTCAACCTCAATTCAAATTCAGGCATTTAATTAGAAATCCTTAAACCTGAGTATGAGCAGTATATTAATAGTGATGCGTGCCTTACACTCTTAAAAATAAAGGTGTTTCACGATGCCATAGAAGAACCTTTTTTGTCTAAATGGTTCCATAAAGAACCTTTAACATCTGAAGAACCTTTCTGTTTCACAAAAAAGAAAGAAGGTTCTTCAGATTACAAAAAGGTAAGAGATGGTTCTTTAAAGAACCTTTAACTGAATAGTTCTTTGTGGAACCAAAAATGTGACCCTGGAGCACAAAAGCAGTCTTAAGTCGCTGGGGGATATTTGTAGCAATAGCCAAAAATACATAGTATGGGTCAAAATTATAGATTTTTCTTTTATGCCAAAAATCATTAGGATATTAAGTAAATGTCATGTTCCATGAAGATATTTAGTAAATTTCCTACTGTAAATATATTAAAACTTAA